AAGAAGAAGAAGAAGAAGAAGAAGAAGAAGAAGAAGAAGAAGAAGAAATAATAATAATAATAATAATAATGGTGGGGTCCTTGGTGCTATCTGAGCTTGGTGGTTTTCTTGCAGACGTTTCATGACCCAACTAGGGAACACCATCAGTCGAAGGAGAGGGGATTACTAATTTAATAACTGCAGGGATTCTTTGTGGCATGAAAAGTCGTAAAGTGAGGCAGAAGGCCCTTAACCAATGCCTCGCTTAGCAACATAAGGTCAGGGGTCAACTGTGTCAGTCGTCAGAGCCAAGGAGGAGCCAAGCAGATTGTTCTTTTCCTTTCAAAGCAAAGAGGCCGGAGAGGTTGGTTGGTTTCAAGGGGAGGCGCTGATCCCCCGGCCGGCAGCAGCTGCCTTTGGGCCCCCTTGAGCCCCTTCCTTGTTTAAAAGGGGGGAAAGGAAACCCCGAAGCCCCCGAGCCTCTTGGGGGGGGCGGTGGCTGCGGAGGAAGAGACTCACTGTAGTCGCTGTTTTCGTCCTTGGTCCCGTCGATGGTTCCGTCCGGGTGCATCTGAAGGAAGAATTCCTGCTGGCTGAATAACCGGGTCACGATCCCTTTCAGCTGGGGTTCTGCAGAGGGAGAGGAGCGCAAGAGCCTCGGGTCAGGCCAGGGACACACACACACACACACACACACACACAGAGGTACAAACGTTTGTACCACCAGGGAGAGATGTCGGGGGGGGGGGGGGGAACCAACCCTGCCCATGGCTTTTCCCCAAAGGGTCAAAGGTCAGCCTGGCCAGGAGGGAAGCGGCCCCTGAGTTCTGACCCGGCTCCCCAAACACGACAAACCCTCCAAAATGAACTCAGAAGATTCCTTTATTAGGAGCCCCGGCAAAAAGTTTCTCTCTCACCGCAGACTAACAAGTCCGTCCGGAAGAGGAATAGTTTGTCTGCCACCCCTATTCATCTCCGCCCCCCACTGCCTTTGATCCCCAGAGCTCAGGTGGGGCCTTGCTAGCAGCGGTGGCTCTTCCGTCCCGAGGACCGGCCCATAGATTTCCACTGCTCTCCTCTCCTCTGCAAATCCACACGTCAGGCCCTGGACCCGGCTGTTCCTCCTCTTCCTCATCAGCCACCTCCAGACCTGGGGGCTCTTGACTCTCCACCTGAGGGCTGACGGCCGGCCCAGGCTCCGCCTCTGTCTCTCTCTCTCTCTTTGCTAGCTCTTCCCTCTCCCCCCTCGGAGCTCCCAGGTTGCCCTGATGCTGACCCTGACTCCATGCCTCCTCCTCCTCCTCCTCCTCTGATTCAATTGCCAGAGGGGCTGGCGGTTGACAGGCCATAGCACTAGATCCATCCACCATCCAGGTACAAGGCCACCTGAGGGCCACTTTCAGCACACACCTGACCAGTAGGTGGGATACAAACATCCCATTTGTTTGCAGGGAACCATGTTCACACCGGTGTGTATGCCACCAACAGCCACTTTGCTCACAATTTCAGGCCTCCCAATCGGCCTTTCTGAAGACAACTGGAGGATGCCAGCCAAGGTGCCCACTCCTCCATCATCCATCCCAGAAAAGTCCATTCAAGGTAACAATCATTTTCGATGTTTCCTCAACGAGCCCTCACTTAACTCAGATAGCCAAGCCTCCCTACACTGAATACTGTCAACCTACTGTAGTTCTCTGAAAATAAGACCTAGCATGATTTTTTTCCCCAGATGCTCACGAGCCCTACCCCAAAAATAAGCCCCAGTTAAGATGGTCAGCCAGACAGACACATTTAGTGCCATGCTTCTCTGTAAATAAGACCTAACTGGAAAATAAGCCCAAATTCTTCTTTTGGAGCAAAAATTAATGTACCGTATATGCCGGCGTATAAGACGACCCGGCGTATAAGACGACCCCCCAACATTTCCACTCAAAATATAGTTTGTTATATACTCGCCCCCTCTTCCGCACGCCTTCCACTTTTGCACTTTTTTTTTTTTTTGAGGCACTTTTGTGCACCGTGGAAACGAATCCCGTGAAGCTGAAAGGAGCAGCCAGCCTTCTCCCAGCTCCCAAGGAAACGAGGCTCGCACCGCCCGGGCTCCGCTGAGGTATCCGGCTGGGGCTGTCAGGAGTTGTTACCGCTGGCGCGGCTCCGCGCGGCTCCAGTCCCGCGTTGCCTCGGGAAGGGAAAGGCAAAAAGGAAGAGCCGCAGCGGCGCTTTGCAATGGCAGCAGCGGCTCCTGGTTTTGCCTTTCCCTTCCCGAGGCAACGCGGGACTGGAGCCGCGCGGAGCCGCGCCAGCGGTAACAACTCCTGACAGCCCCAGCCGGATACCTCAGCGGAGCTCGGGCGGTGCGAGCCTCGTTTCCTTGGGAGCTGGGAGAAGGCTGGCTGCTCCTTTCGGCTTCACGGGATTCGTTTCCACGGTGCGCAAAAGTGCCTCAGCCGCGGGCAGCCGCAGTGCTTCCCAATTACTATTTGCCGGCGTATAAGACGACCCGGCATATAAGACAACCCCCCCAATTGGAGGCATGTTTTTCAGGGCAAAAAAGTCGTCTTATACGCCGGCAAATACAGTAAGCGTCTTATTTTCGGAGAAATACAGCACTTCCCACTCCTGGGGGCAACTTTGCAACCTACAGATGTCGCAAATGTCCTCAAATAAAGCCACTTTTTCATGCAATCCCTCCCAAAATCCTGCCCTCTCAGAGAGACCCCCCCCCCCTCAAAAGGAGCAGTCCCCTCAGAGAGACACTTACAGAGCTGTAGAGGTACCCCTCGCCATTCATGGCCACATAGAGGCCGGCCTTCACACCTTGGATGGCCACCACACGAAGCCCCACTGGGATGAGGTTGAAGAGGGCTGGAAGAGAAGGAGGGAAAGGTCCATGAGTCTGGGGCTAAAAACCGAGGAGACCCTCCCCACATCCCAAGACAGGAAGCATGGCTTCTCAGGAACCAATCCCAGCACTTGCGTGACCAGGAGAAGGTTCCCAGGCAAACTAGAAACAGCCAAAGAGTCATTAATCACGGAATAACAGAGCTGGAAGGGACCTTGGAGGTCTTCTAGACTAACCAGTTGCTCAAGAAGGAGACCAGCTAAAGCAGGGATGTCCAATCTTGGCCATTCTAAGACTTGTGGACTTCAACTCCCAGCATTCCCCAGCCAGAATGCTTTGATATGGGTGGACTACAACTCCCAGAATCCCCCAGCCTGCATGATTTCTTTCAATTCTGAGAGAAAAACACCACCTATCTTGAAGGGTCCAAGTTTGGAAAGCTGTACTAACCCTAACCGAATTTGGAAACAATTTATGGATTCTAATATTGCCCATAGCCACCTGGAACATCCAAAGTTCAGGTTTCGTTCCAGAAAAGGTTTTACAACATTAGATTTTTGTCTGGCTGACTACAGCATGAAGGATGAACCGTTTTCGATTAATTAGAAATTCTCATATATTATGGGCCCTTTTTGTCAACCCCCTGATGTGACTCAAATAGGAGAGTGGTTCACAATCTTTTCTTCACTACAGATCCTCTTTAAATACCTTTTGTAACCATGGACCCCCAGGATTTCACTCGACATTTAAATCGTAGCATTTCTTCAAGAGTTCAGGGACCCCCCCTGGGATGACATCGTGGCCCCTCCACAGGATGAGAACCCCTGAAATTGTTGTTTTTAAAGTGCTATGCCTGTTGTATGGTTATTTGGATACCTTTCCCAGTGACTTGCAGTTTGTAAACTCTGTCTGCATGTTGGTATTTTGCAAACCTTTAAAGAATTCTCTTTCAACTCCCTTTCTATTTACACACCCCTCACATCCTGTTTCAGGACATAAACTGTTTCAACTCCTTCCCTCAAAATGATGTTATAGAGCCCTGCACACCAGAAAACAAGACACAAGGGGAGTTTTTTTCCCCAAAAGCCATCACTCTGCTAAGCAAATAATTCCCTCAACACTGTTCAACTATTTACAAAGTCTGCACTACTATTACTGTTAATCTTCTCGTCACTCCTTATCACCCATCCCCTCCCACTTGTGACTGTAGGACTGTAACTTTGTCGCTTGCATCCTTACGATTTATATGGACTGTTTCCTAGTATGATTTGATTGCTTATTGTACCCTATGACTATTATTATTAAGTATTGTACCTTGTGATTCTTGACTCCTGATGAATGTATCTTTTCTTTTATGTACACTGAGAGTATTTGCACCAAGACAAATTCCTTGTGTGTCCAATCACCTTGGCCAATAAAAAATTCTATTCTTCTATTCTATTCTATTCTTTCTACTTTATTTTTGTCTTCAAGTATCTTTAAATAAAAGCATTTCTAAAAACCAGGTAAAATTGGCAGAATTCTCCCTATTTACTTTCTGGCTACCACCTGTTCATATTTTTTCTTATTTCTTTGATGCTATGGATAGCATGCTCCAATTCTACTTTGGGGGTTTGGGTTGGATCGGGGATAGGCAGAAAAGAACAAAGCAGTGCCCATAAATAATCCTCGCACACCATTAAAAGCCATATAATCCAGGACATCGCTGGATGAATGAAAAGACCAAAAACAGGTGAGCAGGAAATGGCTTCAACTTCTTTGCAAAAAGGGTCCCAGAAACGGAGAGTTTGAGAGAGAAGGTCCATGCTCCACATCCCTCCGAAGGGAAACCCCTCAACGGGTCCTCTCTCAATGGCCGGACTGGACAGACAACAAACTGGCAGCTGTGTTTGGTCCATGCTGTGGCTTCCAAGCCATTTCTAAGGCCCACCATATTTAGAGTCAGGGTTAGTCTGGTTCCTCTTCAGGTTCGCCTCTTCCCAAAGATTTCCGTGGAGAGGAACTTTTGTGAGTTTTATACCAATTTTTGGAGGCTCGGCTTCGGTAGGGCTACCTATATAGCTTTCCAAGTCTTAATAGCAGAACTACCAGATTCTGTAACTGCTTTGATTCCTAGGCCAGAGGTCTCTGACACTGGAAACTTTACAACTTGTGGACGTCAACTCCCAGAGTTCCCAGAACTCTGGGAATTGACGTCCACAAGTTGTAAAGTTTTGCTGGCTGAGGAATTCTGGGAGTTGACGTCCACCAGTTGTAAAGTTGCCCAACTTGTGAGATTGAACCAATGTAATCACCAGTTCAGTGAGCGTGCATCCAATGCGCACTTCGTGCTTGCGCGTGTTTGAAAATTGCCCCGTTTTCAGCTCTAAAACTTCTGCTTCAGCCCCGGTGAGTAAAACAGCTGAGGCGTGGCACAGCTGGGATGCAAAACACGGAGATACAGGACGGACAAGGGCAGGGGCGGGTGGGTGGGTGGGTGGGGCCAAGGAATCACCGGAACAACCAGCTCACCTCAACTGGTCTGAACCGGCTGAATCCCCCCCCCTTGCTCGCAAGACTCGCTTTTCTCGCCATGTCCATGTATACATCTGCACTAGACTGTGTTGTTTCTCTGTGTCATATAATAATATCTGTGGATATGTGGATTCATGCATACTTTTTTTGGGGGGGGGGGGTCATGTTCACGTAGGGTATATTAGAGATGGACACCCTTTTGAGAGCTGGATGCAACGAAATTTCATTTCAACGTATGTCGATCGGTGTATGTTCAAAGAGACAATAACGTTATTTTAAGTCATGATTTAGAATATGTCCACCTATGCAATAATTACAGCGTAAGTTACCATCACCAAAGGACGATCCAGCTTCAAGCAGGGTTGTAACTGGGGTACCAAGAGAATTTGGGAAACTTTAGTGGTCCCACTTAGCTAGGAAAGCCAGCTGGGTGACTTTGGGCCGATCGCCGGGGGAAGGGGAGTTCTAGTCCCACCTTAGGCCTGAAACCCATTGGGCGTCTGCGCCAATCACCAGGAGGCTCAGAGTTCAAATCAGGCATGAAAGCCAACTTGGGGCCAATTGTTCCTTCCATCCTACCTCAGAGGGTTGTTGTTGCAAGGAAACCAGGAGGAGGGAGGTGGGTCGGATATGTTGGAGTTATTTGGGGGGGGGGAATAAAAATAGGAAAGGGATATAAATAAACAAACTTCTCACGGCCTTGGGATCCAAAGCCAGGCGGTGCCCCTGGGACAGTCCTCCCCTGGGCCAGACCAGAGGGAGAAGAAAGCAAGGACAGACCTGTGAAGAGCAAGGCTTCGCTTCCCAGGAGGGAAGACAGACTTGGAGGCCCAATTTAAGAAAATAAAAATAAAAAAGGCCAAACCCTGACAACCACCTTCCCCCTCCAATACGAGAAGGAGGAGAGTGCAGAGAACCAAAAATTAACAAGGAGGCTGTCAGGCTAAATGCCCTGCGAAAAGCAGTAAAAAAGGGGGGGGAAGAAAAGCCGCCCCTCCAGAGCTGGACCTCCTCATAAATCAGATCAATTAAGCAGGCACCAGAATTAAACGAAGGGAGGGTCTTGGCTGGGGGAGGGAGGGCCGGGAGGAGGGGGGACCGTCTTTGCGGCCGACAACACCAAGGAAGCTCTGGACCAGCCCAAAGAGCCTTTGGCGAAGCAGCTCCAGGAGAGTCCCGGCTCCTCTGGGATCGGGGGCAGCCCACGGGGGCTCCCCAGCGGCTCCTGGGGACACCACGAGGAAAGCAGACTGCAGTCCCCACGTGAGCGACTATCAGGGTGAGGCGGTAGAGGAGGAAGGAGAAGGAGGGGAAGGAGGCAGGGAAAGAGGAAGAAGAGGAAGAAGAGGAGGAGGAAGGAAGAAGAGGAAGGAAGAAGAAGAAGAAGAAGAAGAAGAAGAAGAAGAAGAAGAAGAAGAAGAAGAAGAAGAAGAAGAAGAAGAAGAAGAAGAAGAAGAAGAAGAAGAAGAAGAAGAAATAATAATAATAATAATAATAATGGTGGGGTCCTTGGTGCTATCTGAGCTTGGTGGTTTTCTTGCAGACGTTTCATGACCCAACTAGGGAACACCATCAGTCGAAGGAGAGGGGATTACTAATTTAATAACTGCAGGGATTCTTTGTGGCATGAAAAGTCGTAAAGTGAGGCAGAAGGCCCTTAACCAATGCCTCGCTTAGCAACATAAGGTCAGGGGTCAACTGTGTCAGTCGTCAGAGCCAAGGAGGAGCCAAGCAGATTGTTCTTTTCCTTTCAAAGCAAAGAGGCCGGAGAGGTTGGTTGGTTTCAAGGGGAGGCGCTGATCCCCCGGCCGGCAGCAGCTGCCTTTGGGCCCCCTTGAGCCCCTTCCTTGTTTAAAAGGGGGGAAAGGAAACCCCGAAGCCCCCGAGCCTCTTGGGGGGGGCGGTGGCTGCGGAGGAAGAGACTCACTGTAGTCGCTGTTTTCGTCCTTGGTCCCGTCGATGGTTCCGTCCGGGTGCATCTGAAGGAAGAATTCCTGCTGGCTGAATAACCGGGTCACGATCCCTTTCAGCTGGGGTTCTGCAGAGGGAGAGGAGCGCAAGAGCCTCGGGTCAGGCCAGGGACACACACACACACACACACACACACACAGAGGTACAAACGTTTGTACCACCAGGGAGAGATGTCGGGGGGGGGGGGGAACCAATCCTGCCCATGGCTTTTCCCCAAAGGGTCAAAGGTCAGCCTGGCCAGGAGGGAAGCGGCCCCTGAGTTCTGACCCGGCTCCCCAAACACGACAAACCCTCCAAAATGAACTCAGAGGATTCCTTTATTAGGAGCCCCGGCAAAAACTTTCTCTCTCACCGCAGACTAACGAGTCCGTCCGGAAGAGGAATCGTTTGTCTGCCACCCCTATTCATCTCCGCCCCCCACTGCCTTTGATCCCCAGAGCTCAGGTGGGGCCTTGCTAGCAGCGGTGGCTCTTCCGTCCCGAGGACCGGCCCATAGATTTCCACTGCTCTCCTCTCCTCTGCAAATCCACACGTCAGGCCCTGGACCCGGCTGTTCCTCCTCTTCCTCATCAGCCACCTCCAGACCTGGGGGCTCTTGACTCTCCACCTGAGGGCTGACGGCCGGCCCAGGCTCCGCCTCTGTCCCTCTCTCTCTCTCTCTTTGCTAGCTCCATTCCTTCCTCCCTCTCGAAGCTCTCAGGTTGCCTTGATGCTGGCCCTGACTCCCCCACCGCCTCCTCCTCCTCCTCTTCCTCTGATTTGGCTGCTGGAGTAGCTGGCAGCTGACAGGCCGTAACACCCTGGCAGAGGCTACTTTGCTCCCATTCATAGCACTTGCGCCTCCGTGGTAAGAGCCACCTGCCATTCCTGGCATTCACCCGCTTCTGGATTCTCGCTGGGCCCTCAGAGTCCCAATTCACGTAGCCCCATAAGCCACAATACAATCTACGCAGATAATCCTTCCACTTCCGACCGAGTTGCGATCAGAATTCCCTCCGCTAAGTTAAGGGAGGCACCTAATTTTCCTCCTGTGGTTGAACAAAACGTGGCCCTTGCTAGGGGGCCCTTATGGTTGTTAATCTCTTGGCTTGTCAGAAGCCAGCTGGGAAGGTCCCAAATAAATATATGCCGGTTGCAAATGCCCAAATTTTGTTCACATGGTTGTGGAGGTGTTGCGACAGTCCCAAGTGCAAGGAGCAGCTGTCAGTCATTTTTTTTTCCAGTTCTCTTCAGTGCTACACAAATGGTCATAAGTCCAGAACTACCCCTAAAGGTTTCCCCCTGTCCAGTTGAGTCCGACTGGGAAGGCCTGTAAAAAAACTGGAAAAATTGGGGGGAAACCCAGGATTGTTTTATTATTATTATTTTCCCAAAAATAATAATAATAAAAAACCTGTTTGTTCTGTTTGGAAAACTGTTTCCAACTGGTTTTTTTCCCAATTTTCCCCCCAATTCTGTCTCATCCCAGTTTCTTAGCCGAGGGAGCCAGCATTGTCCAAAGACACTTTCCATGGTCATGTGGCCAGCATGGCTCATGGAATGCTGTGACCTTCCCACCGAAGTGGTACCTATTTATCTACTCACATTTTCATGCTTTCCAACGGCTAGGTGGGCAGGAGCTGGGCTGAGTAATGGGAGCTCACCCTGCCATGCGGTGCTCAGGACTCAAACCTAGGCAGCTAGATCTCCAGCCAATAAGCTCAGCTTCTTTTAACCACTTGGCCATTGTGCCCCTGCCCCCTTTGAGCCATACCTGTAGTTAACTCTAATTACGCCATCCAATCCCCAGTGGTCTCACTGTACTGCTTTATAATGCATTTGTAAGGCCACACCTGGAAAACTGCATCCAGTTTTAGTCACCACATTACAAAAAGAAGATGTTGAGACTTTGGAAAAAGTTCAAAGAAAAGCAACGAAGATGATTAAAGGCCTGGAGACAAAAACATATAAAGAACGGTTGCATGAACTATGGCCAGTCTAAAGAAAAAAAGGAATTAGGGGTGACATAATAGCATCTTCCATTATTTGAGGGGCTGCCCCAAAGAGGAGGAGGGGGTCCACCTCCAAAGCCCCAGAAGGCAGGAGAAGAAGCAACGGATGGAAACTAAAACCAGGGAGAGAAGCAACCTGGAATTCAAGAGAAACAGTTCCTGACAGGGAGGACAATCAACCAGTGGAACAAAAGTTGCTTCCAGAAGTTGTGGCTGCTCCGTCACTGGAGGCTTTTAAGAAGAGGCTGGACAGCCATGTGCCTGGAATGTTGTAAGGGTCTCCTGCTCAAGCAGGGAGGTTGGACTAGATGATCTCCCGGGGCCCTTCCGGCTCTATTCTGATTCTTTGACTGCTTGGGCACCATCAACTCAAGAGCTGTGAGATTTGAGCCGATACTCCTGTCCATCAGGAGATCTCCTGCGATCGTGAACAGATCCGGCATCCAGCCCAACCTTTGGAAATGCCACAATGCGGGATTTCTGGAGACTTCCACCTCCAGAAGTGGAGTCAAAGCGTCTGATCTCCCCCCCCCCCCCCGCCCCCGCGGGACTAAATCTCCTGGGGCGGCTCTTGC